TTTTACTTTTGTTGGGCGCTAATGTACAGTGGGGTCCCTGAAAATGATGGAGACCATGTTATCTAATTAACCAATTAAAAAAAATCCTGACCCCCCAACTCGAACAGATCGACTATACTTCAAAGTAAACTGTTTCGCATCCATTTTCCCAGTTTGTTTTTATTTCACCATCTCGATTTTAGCCGCCTCCCTGACATGATGATTGAGCACGCACTGTTCGCGGACAAGTTCTTTTGCACAGTATCTTGGTAAACTATTTCTGTTTGCAGGTACGTGCTTAGATAGAGCACTTGCCCGTAATGAAGTTACAGCTGAAGTTGCAAATATCACCAAGTTTCTTCGAATAGTTTTTGTGAATTCGCGCCAGCCAAACATGCTGGCACTTTTCGGAAAATCGCAATGTGCGTTGTCAATTTTAGGTAAGAACTTTCGGCGAAGAAACACCCCAAAGCTGTGCTCCCTCTTCGTGGACTACTAAATCAACTTGCCTCATTAGCAGCTGATAATTTCTCAAACTTGCATCGTGAGGCAAAACTAAACGGGCGCTAGCACGAGAAAACAGCACGGCAGCGGTAGGCGACGGATCTGGTAGGTACCCGGGCATGTCGGTGGTTCATTTTAGAAGTGACGTAGGGGCGCTGCGTGACACGTGCACACTATGTATAATCTGCATCCCCAACCTGTAGACCACTGATGTCATTGTTATAGGACAGTAGTTGTTTATGTCTGCTTTGCCCTCCTTTCTTTTATAGATCATGCTCATCCTGCTAAGTTTCCATCCATCGGGGACACATCATGCACCATCGATTATTGTTAGATTTTTCGGGGGGATACGAACACACAAAAATTATGAAAGAGATGCGGTTCATTGAAAAAAAGAAACACAGAGGCGCAAAGGAAAAAAAAAAGCTATTGCACAGTGATAGCGAAAGCGAGCCATTTTTTAGGAGACTGTGGCCGCAATCGTTTTTATCACACCCGCATGTTTTCTATTCCCCAATAAGAAACTATATTATCTTTTATACCAGTGTCACCTGTGTAATTCTGACCGGGATCAGTCAGTCCGGATAGAGTGTTTTGGTCGCTATCGATGCGCAGATTATAATGACCTTTTGGTGCGGAGTTTATCCTCTCACAGGTAACCCCATCGCTAGTTTCTCTGACAACAACGTCAAAACAAAGTTCTAAGTAATCACTTTCTTATGTTTCTGTTATTGTGGTAAATGAGTCACTGTTTGTGACACTTAATCGTATTGACATTGCTCTAAAGGCTTGGGATGTAAAAACAGCGCAAAAATATAGACAAGGACAGAGGAAGAGGCGACAATGACCTTTTTCAGTTTGGAAACCGCTGCGCAAAGCTACTCTCACGCTGAGTAGATGAACACATAGCTAAACGATCCACCATCCACGAAGTCATTGCAATATGAGACGCTGTAAGTACTTGTGTCGTATAGTGGCGCACAAGCATGAAAAAAAAAATCCGAACACAGATGGGTATGTGACAAGTGGAACTATATCAGATGCAAGCTTACAGCGTGTTATTATGCGGCAGAAGAACATGTGCATCGTAAAACTTCCCATAAAAACTGTTATTCAATTAGCATGCCCCACTTATATGACCATTGGAAAAAACTAATCTTTTAATAAATGGTTGCCTCAGTGTTCTTAGTTTTATTATCACTTTTTAGAAAAAATTTCAGCACTACTGTGGTGCGCAAGAGGCTGCAAATAACTAACCATTATTTAATTCAGCGGCACGCCCGTGCGAGCGTCGGCGAAAAATGGTGCCGCGCCCCACACGTACAACAAGCAGGCAAGGAGAATCAAGGAGGAAACACGTGGAGGTTAGTGTCGTTACTTTCCCAAGATCAAGAGGCTTTACTCAGTGCAAGTTCTGCTAGGAGTTTGCTAGGGGCACGGCGGTGCGCAAAGGTTCGCTCCAGCTTCTCACTTCTTTTGACCGGAATTTCAGGCACAACTGCAAGGTATGCGATCGGCTGTGGTTTCACAACAATTTGACGAAAATCACCATCATTCAAAATGGATAGTTTCGAACCAATGCCATTGCTGTACTGCAGCAAGAGTTTGCTTGCGATGACGATCATAGTGAGCACTTGGTTTGCTCTACATGTAAATCAAAGTGGACACCTCAATTCCATATTTGACCAATAAAATAATACTGTAAATACTCTACACATCTGCTGTTACTCATTTCCATGTTCTAGCGGGCAATTTACGGGGTATTCATGGCTACCCCAATTGTGCCCTGGTGCTTCGCCCACTCATCATTCACTTCATGAATATGTGGTGATTTTTTTTCTGCAATGTGATTTTTTTCCTTAAACAAATAGTGTGCAAGCTCGGCCAATTGTGTTTGTGCACACTATTTTATAGTAGCAAGAGATGTGGTTGCTAAAAAAAAAACACTCCATGTCATATGCAAAGCATGCTACCGATATAGCGAAAAGAGGTTGTGGGGGGGGGGACAGATTACAGAGACGGCGCTCGACCGGCAGCACCTCCATCTTTGTGGTCTCTGCGTAGGCACTGAACCGAATTTTATTCATACACACTGCAGTGTCGTGCACACTGTCACGCACACAAACCCTCGTAGCTGGTCACCATTTCAACAAAGCCGATGAAGGGCGCCACCAGAGAACTTATGCGTCCCTATGGACCGCAGAGATGGCAGTGGGTGCCACCAGCACCAAAGCAGATGGCGTCATTTGTAACCCTCTTATAAATATTTCTGCCTTCTTATGACATGACACATGTCAGCCAGTTTGGACGCTAGATACCTCTATTCACCCATTCTTGATACCTTCTTTCTTTTTGTATATCAGCTTTACTTCACGATACCTAAAAGCACTGAGCCGTACTGTCACCATGGAAGGCAGAAAATAGCGTTCTTTTATTTTCTTTTTTTTTCTCAGACCATTCTCTCTTTCTGGACCCTGATTGAATTAGTAGGCGAGGAAACATGAGCTTTCTTTAAAGTGTGCAAATTGAGCGCAATGGCCTGCACATTGCCATGAGCATCAATGTGAACCATGGCTGTACAAGACTAGGTTTGTTGACAGAAGGAAAGTTATGACCACAGGAGTATTGTTAGAAGCCCTTTGTACCAGGAAACAGGGGGATTTGTGTCTGAATGGCACATCCATTTCCTTATTCCTAAAGGTAAGTAATTTTTTAGAAGGTGTGGATACGATGCATGAAGGTATTCTGTTTGGCACTTTGCACAAGAACAGTGTATCTTATTGCCAGGGTTGCCATGCTACTTTGCACCAAACTGGCTGCTTTAAAGGGCCACTGACCAGGTTTGACAGTTTTGAGTTAATGTGCGCAATGCATACATGGGTCGTTCATGATCACATCTGCCGAAATTTTTAATGCTACGACCCGCGAAAATAGGTCGAATTTCAAAATGAACGCTGCTTTCTCTTCTTGTCGTGGCCGCACACCCACAGAATGAGGGCATGGTGTACACGTAAGAATAGCACTGCATACACGGCCGCGCTGTGACTTCAGTCTTCTACATAGGCCACTGTGCTCTGACATAGCCAACAGTAGTTCGTGACATGACGAAAGTTATTTTACATGTCATGTGTAACTTGTATAATTTGTTGTTTGAATAAATGAATAAAACTTCAGATAAATAATGAGACACAGTAAGGGAATGTGCACATCTTTTCCACTTTACCTTCGTGAATAGCAATGAGATGTAGGGATAATGCGCATGTGTTTGTGTCCATGTGGGCAGTTCATCATGCAGACACATGTGAAAAAAAAAATAATGGTCCTGCGTGTTAGAGCACTCTTTATGCTCATCTATTCTATCATGTCTAAGCCAGTGTTTACAAACCATCCTAAAGAAATGGGGAGTAAACCACAAAATAATGCTTGGCAATAAAACAAAGCTGCTCGCGTGCTCGGGAATTGGGCTTGTTTGAGCTCGTCATGCGCACATGACCTCTTGGTTGGATGCTGAAAAGGGTAGGAAAAAGATTTAGCTTGCGAAGGCTACACGAGGGAGCATTAAAGGTTGCGAGCTCGCCTCCTCTCATCTGCGTTTCTCGCCGCTTCAAAAAAGGTTTTCTCAGCTCATAGTGAACCGGTTGAAAAAATTTTTGTGGCATAATTCTCTTCATCGAACACACAAGAGCTTCCACCGTCTACCTAAAATTTGTTATGGGGCCTGGTGAGTGGCCTTTTAAAACTCTGTCCAGTGATTAAAATTTCAGGTTGGCTCCATAGTTACTTTGAACTTCTATTTTGGTGTACCTATGAGTAATTTTGCCTGTTATTTAATGATATAACAGTGAGATTTTGTTTCAAATTTTTTCAGGCTATTCGATGTTTCAGATTATTTAAAATCATGCATTTCAATATTTTATAATGAAAACTGTATTGATAATATCACTTTTGCTCAAGTTCACTACAAACATGATGCTAAAATTAAAACAGCATGTCTACTCTGGCTTCATTTAGCTTGAGTTATATCTCCTTTTCAAATGTACTCTGCTTGTTGCAATAAGGGAGTCAAATATTGCTTCCCTTCCCCCACTTTTTTTTGCCATTTTGCAATGAGTGTAACACAAAAAGCAATGGCATTGCAGTCGAAATGGTGAATTGTAAATAACTTTTTACATTAAGGCATGCCCAAGCTTTCGACAGTGCGTTACAGCTTCTCATTTAATGGAAATACGTTATTAATTGAAACTTCAATGGAACAAATGCTTCTGACAATATTGCTTTTGTTCTTATATTTTGTACCCTTGTTCATCTCTCAGTAAACAGAACTCCTGTTAAACAGGACATATTTTTCGTGTCCCTTCAGGTTCTGCTTAACGAGAGCCTACTATATCTTGCAAAGGAGCATATGCAGGTTATTTCTGGTGAGCTGTATATGAAGAGCTGTATGCCTCAATGCAACTTATTGAGTGCTCTGCCCATATATTATGGAGATGGCCTGAGGAACATATGCTTCTCTGCAGGGCTGGGGCTGTGGCTATCGGTCACTGCAGACCATCTGTTCGTGGGTGGTATTGCAAAAGCGCAAGGCTGGGGTAAGTGTGCTCTGCATCTGTGTTTCAGTCTAGCAAAGTTTTGACAGCCGCTTGTGTACCACAGCATGTGCCTAGAAGCAGTAGTGATGGCAAACTAAGCATTTAAGTGGGCACAACGTCTTGAATCACGAGAAAGTAATAGTCGAAATGTGAGAGCGTAACACAGAAAGGGATTTGGGAAGACAAGGACAAGCAAATCCCATTACCAACTGAAAGTTTATTCTGAAAGTGCTGACAAATAGATGTTTTGTCAGTACATACGATAAGATAACACAACAAAAAAGAAAAAAAAAGCATGAAGATACAACTGATCTTAAGCCCCTGTTTAAATTGCATGCTTATATTTCAACTGTTATGAATCACCAACTCACCCAATCAGATATTTTGATAAAAAATAAGTTAAAAGAAAGGAAGTCAATATTGAATTCAAGATAGGTGTTAGCATGAGATCCTGCAATGTTGGGCTCTTCTACAGCACCTTAAAGGGACACTGAAGGCCAGTAACAATATACATCAAAGTGTTTGAGAAAACAACTAAAATGTCAGTACAGTGGGCTCCCTTTAAGAGAACCACGATCATTTGTTCGTCTTATCAGAAACTCATCTTATCAGAGGTGCCCCTCAAAATCAAATGCTAACATGCCAAGTACGCCCAAATATGTTGCTTGAAAACGATGAATGAAATATGCTTAAATGGGGAGGGAAAGAACAAGAAAAAGCATTTATTTGGCTAAGCTAGATAAAAACTATGCTTTCAAGTAGAGTGTTTAGACTAATCTAAGTAGTACTTAATTTCACGAGTTCGTAATAAATATTCTCATGAATACATTGCTACCACATTTTAACAATAAAACTGTAGTACATGTATATAAAAATATAAAAAGAGAGAGACAAGCACAATTTTTTATTAAAGAATAGAAAACTTATTCTTTTGACTGTTCACCTTCTGAGCGGCTGTTTTACTGGCTTTGGTTTCACTTTTGGATATGTCTCCATTGCATACCTCTACCTTGACAAAGCCAATGTGTGCCAAGTTGCTTATCCAAGTCTGCAAGCTTTTTTTTTTTTGAGGTTCAAATATTTTCTTATTTTGAGCCTGCAGTAACTTTTTCTGAAGGATATGCAGCTGAACGTCTTCGTTTACGCTACTCACTATCACAAGCCTTGGGCAAACAAGAAGGTACTGCGCAGCAATACTTAGTGTGTAAAATGACCTTTCTTTGTCAAGCAATTTCATAATGAAAATGGATTATCACAAGTTGATGCATTGAAGTGGGAACAGATATGACGCGCACAGGCCCTATGCAAAACATAGCAAATCGACCACAGCACATGCTCAGGCGCCATTGTGTGGCGGCGATAATTCATCTGACTCCTCTGATGGGAGTGCTAATGCTCGATATGTGGTTTCCGTTTTATGTGATTTTAATGGTCAAGAAAATAGCTTCTTCATTGCAACGCAACATGGCTTCAGGGCTGGTTTTTATTGTGACACTCAGCTGATAGAATTTTGTCCTGACATTGCAGCACTTATTAACTCTGCTTTGCAAGTTGACTGCATCTTTTTACTTTCGGAGAGCATTCGATACCATATCTCATACCCTGTTGCTACAAAAGTTTACCGGTCTCAATTTGCCAAAATACCCTCCTGAAGTGGTTAGAAGCATACCTGCTAGATAGAAACCAACACGTGATACTTGTAGGTGTTCGCTCTTCTGATGTCTCAGTTTTATCAGAAGTGCCACAGGGGTCCGTTTTAGGGAATCTGCTTTTTCTAATATTCATTCATGATCTAACTGAACACTTGTCATGCCATGTGAGGCTATATGCAGATGACTGCTGTATCTACTGTGAAATTTCTAGCAAATCAGACAGTGAACAGCTTCAAAATGATTTCAACACAGCATTTTCGATGGAGGCGGAAATGTTGTAGGCCCGTGTGCTCAGATTTGTGTGCACGTTAAAGAACCCCAGGTGGTCTAAATTTCCGAAGCCCTCCACTACGGCGTCTCTCATAATCATATAGTGGTTTTGGGACGTTAAACCCCAGATATCAATCAATGATTTCAACACAGTAATGTCTGGGTGTTCAACTTGGAACTCAACCTGTCCAAATGCAACCTCTTTAAGATTCATGAACAAAAAGCACCCTCTGATGGCAACCTATGTCATGGATACAACACAGCTGCCCCTAGTGACAGCATATAAGTACCTGGGAGTAATTTTTTCCAGCATCTGACTTGGAATGTGCACATTGATTACATCGTAAGAAAGGCGAGCGACACATTGAACTTCTTGCGACGTAACTTTAAACAAGCAACGGCCAGTCTATATCTCGAGTGTACGCTGTTACGTTTGGCCCGGCAATTCGTGTGGGCGGACGCCATTGTGTGTAAGTTGGTCTACTGGGGAGGCTCTCAACCCCATCAGCGCCCATTCTGCAAGATGCTGTCTGGTAGACGTTCCAACAAACAGTCGGGTCTCAACGAAAGCTTGGCGAGGCAAGCCTTTTGTTGAACGGGCTCGATCAGTGGGGGAGCAATGCCACTGTGGCGGTCTCATTAAGACAACTTCGTGACTCGGCTTTTGTCAACTAAGTGAGGTCATTTCAACGCACCGACAGCCCGGAAGTGTGGGAACGCGTCGAAGAAGCCTTTCACCGGAATTGAGCCTTGGGACTGCCTCAGCTGAATCTTGCTAAATGGAATCATGTGAGGAATCATGATCTCTGTTGTACATTTTGCAGGATCTTCTGGATTCCTGTACAATTCCTATCCTTCTTCAATAATGTAAATAAATCTTTTGTTCTACCTCTCTTAACGCGTCCCCTCACTGGCGAAGATCGGCTATGGGGACGACGGCGGGGTGCCAGCCACCCTAAAGAGAAGCCCGCCATTCCCATCATCAACTTCCTCCTACCCTTTGCAACTGGTGGCAGCGGTAGGATGCCATCATCAATTCCTTACCCCTAATAACGCCCACTTTCGGAGTATGCGTGTAGCACCTGGGACCCTTTTACTGAAGGGAACATCGACGCTGTAGAGCGTGTACAGCTGAGAGCGACCCGTTTCGTCACAGGTGATTATGACTTTTGTAAAAGATCTTTAGAAATCAGAAATACTTTAGGGTGGCCCCTTCTTTAAGACAGACGCAAATTCTAACATTTATCTCTGTTTCACAAGATATTCAACGGTTTAACGGGTATTCACGAAGAGAACCACATATTGAAGTCTACGTATATGTCCGCTCGCACTGACCACCCACTCAATGTGCCCAAGTTCGCTGCCAGAATTAACCTTTTTAAATATTCACTTTTTCTGCGATCTATACAGCAATGGAAAACTACCTCAACAAATTGTAACCGCACCAACGGAAATATTCAGCGTGGCGCTTCAAGGCCACATTTTTTTGCAGCCTGATTATACTTTCGTTTGTTCCTTTTAGCAGTCTGCACCTAAATTTGTTTTCTTGTTTTTTTTTTACTTTTTTGTGATGTTTTTGCTATCTCTGTTTGTATAGATGTGTGTGTACATACATATGTGTATATATATATGTGTTCATGTGTTTATTATATTTAAACATGTTTTGCTGTGTATATTCTGATAATTACGCATCACAATTGCATGCTTTATTATGTAGCTTTCTTTTGTGTACACCGCAGAGTTAATAGCTTGTCGACATTCTATATACTTTTTTTTTTCTCTTTATTGTTCTGAAATTTATTACTTTTTTAACTTTTTCTTTAAATATGTATTTAAATGTTATCTCCCTCTATACTAATGCCCCACGTGGGTGTTATAGGTATTGTAAATAAATAAATAAATGTACAAGTAATATTTGTTCTCATTTTCACTTTCATTTGGCTTTTTTTCACTGCCCTTTCCTTGCATTTTTCTCTCTAGCCAAGCTTCTGTGTTCTGTTCTCCACTGTGCTCCTGTTGGGGAACTTGAAAACAAACTGCAATGAAATTTGGCACTCCACAAAAAGTCAATGTATCAGTAGTCTAGCTAGAGGTAGGGCTGCCTGCTAATATCACCTTCGAAATACAAGCACTTACCTTAGAAAAAAAACTTAAAAACGATGGTGTTTTTGAGACCGAAACTAGAAAAAACGATGCCAATACAGCTGACCGGAACGGAGGTGAACGACTGAAAAATTGTCTGCTCCGCGCTTCTCAAGCACGCACACCGCTGACGTGCCACTAAGTGTGTGTGTTATTTCTATTTTAACTTAAAAAAGCTGTGTGAACATGCTTCTTATTAAACGCTGATCCAGGCTTCTCACTGGTGGGTTTGCAGTGTCTGGCCCTCGTATCAGAAATGCTGCCGACTTGACTTGCCACCGGCTTCAATGCAGCACAAACTCGTCTCAATCGCGTTGTCTTTAGGTGGTGCCATGGCAGAACAAACGCACAGACGCTTTTCAAATGCACTGCATTGAAAGCGGTTTCAACGCAGGAAAGTGATTCAGTGGCAGAGAGGATTGCTCACAAAGAGCGACGCGACGACGTTCTGTAGTAATCATCATATCTGGATCTGTTCTATTTGCTTGGGCAGACCGCTAGAGCACTGCATCGTCTGCTTGCTGCCAATTAGAGCACCAATTATAAATTAAATATGCAACTGCAAGATTTTTCACTGTTGTTATCATAACTAACCATATCTATACACTACGTATTTATGGCCATTTCGGCCCAGTTGGCCATTAAGAACGCGAAGAGAACACAAAGGACGATCGCTTTTTGTTGCTTTCTTTGCTGATAAAGGCAGCCATTTATCCACCTACAGGCGAGGGAAGTACCAGCTTTATGCGCTGACTTTTCTTTTCCACATATTTTGCTTTCTCTGTCCATGTCTCAATTTGCTTTCGAGGAAGTTTTTTATTTTGCTTTCTCTTCTTTGCCTGTATGCCCCTGCCCCATCAAGACTATACTGTTGGTTGCACAGAATCCCATTGTTGTTGGTAGCTGTGAGAATTCGTCTTTACAGAAGAGGCCTGTTAAGGGGTTTATCTTAAGCAAATTTTTTTGGCGTTGAATTTATGATAAACCAAACTAACAGTCCCGTATTGTGCGTCTTAAGCAAAAATTCGTCTTAACAGATTTCGTCTTGAAGGAAGTTCACGCTATTATAAGCAGGCACTGCTCTACTATTCGAGAAATCAAAGAAGCCCTGCAACACTTTTTCAAATAGCCATGTAATGGATTCACTAAAGGAGCTTATTGCCTCCCAAATTCATGGTCACAAAAATTTTCAGAATCCGTCCAGTTCGTCTTAAAGGGAGTTCACTCTATTATTAGCAGGTAGCGCTCTACTATTCGAAAAATCAAAGAGGCCCTGCAACACTTTTTCAAGTAACCATCGAATGAATTCACTAAAGGAGCTTATTGCCTCCTGAATTTATCGCCACAAAAATTTTCAGAATCCGTCCAGTTCATCTTAAAGGGAGTTCACTGTATTATTAGCAGGCAGTGCTCTACTATTCAAGAAATCAAAGAAGCCCTGAAACACTTTTCCAAGTAGCCATATAATGGATTTACTAAAGGAGCTTATTGCCTCCCAAATTCATCGCTCGCAGCGAAAATTTTCAGAATTCGTCCAGTATGAACAGAGTGACAAAAAAATTGTTGCATGCTGCAGTTGCCTTCTTCTCTCGACTCGACGAAAGCTAAAAAGCTCTGGAACTGAAATACAAAAAGATGCGACCATCAAGGATTAAAATGGAGGGCAGAACAGAAAGGGCGACTGTAAGCATGTATGACATATCCTAACAAGAAGTTTTATTGAAGCGCTGGAAGCAAAGCAGGGAGGGATGGCATGGAGATATACAATACATTGCGTGCATTTCATGACCTTGAGCCTTTTTTTTTTTGTTTCTTCCAACACACAGCTTTTCAGTGCGACCACGCACGCTCAGAGAAGTCGCTGCCTTTTGTGGGGGTCCACATAATGACCAAGCGCGCCATGCTCCGCTCAACCAATTGCTGATGCAATGGTTACGATGAGTGATTTTGGAGCTTGTATCCTCATTTGTCGAGAGAAGAGAAAGCAGTTTTAGTTGACTTTATGAATTGATTGTGAATTCAAAGCTGCATTCTGCACTAACGTAATATTTGGCTCATGTTTTCTTTGGAGCATCAACGACCGATCAACAGCATTTTTTGACCACTCACAAAAAGTGTTACAGAACCTCCTTAAGGTGAATATACCGTATGGTTCAGTGTTATCGGAAACTCGCGAGCTCATGATCATAACGTGTTCTGGGCTGTCTGATGCATCGTCATTTGCACATGTCACTGCCACTGCGCACGTTGTGTGCGCATACCCTTCAGAGGCTATAAAAAGCCTCGCTCCCAATAAACGTGGTTCACTGTTGTACATTCGTGTCTGTACGCTTCAGTGGCGACGAGGCGGTCGAACCGTTGGTCGCGCTGCGACCATGGCTGCGCACGTGGGCCCATCGGGTTTTGATGAGGAGGCGGACAACTCAGAGGCTTACCGGCTACGCTTGAAAGCATACTTCGAGGTTCACGACGTCACGGACGAGAAGAAACGCAGGGCAATTTTGGTCACGGCGTTGAGCACAAAGACAGTGGATTTATTGGCTGCACGATGCGCGCCGGCGAAGATACAGGACCTGAAATACGAAGACGCTGTGAAGTTCCTGGATGAGCGATTTGCTCCGGCGTGCAAAGAAATCGCAGAATCGTACAAGTTCTTCACAAGGAAGCAGCTTGCAGGAGAGTCGGTAAATGAATTTCTCGTGTAAATACGAAAGATTGCAAGCAGGTGTAATTTCGGTAGCGCCCTCGACAGGATGCTAAGGGACCGCATTGTTTGCGGCCTGCGCGACGCTAGTGTTCGTCGGCAGCTGTTGGCAAAACCGGAACTCACGCTGAGGGAGGCGGAAGGGGCAGCGCGTGCAGCAGAGATGACAGCGACAAACGTGGACCACATGGCCAGCGCGCAAAACACGGACAATGTGCACGCTATGACGATGAAGCGCAGAGGCCAACCAACTAGGCATCCGTCACTACGAGAGTCGGCGAGCAGGGAAGACTGGCGGCACGAAGGGACGTGCCCATGCTGCGGCAAAAGTGGTCATACAGCGGAAAAATGCAAGTTCCGTTCTGTTAAATGCTTCACTTGTAAGAGGCAAGGACACCTAGCCCGTGTGTGCCAGCAGCACCAGTCCCGGCAAAACAAAGTGTTCCACTGTGAAAGTCAGTGGTCTGATAATGACGACTACGAACAATTTCTGCTCAACTTGCAAGTGGCATCGGTGAACATGGTCCAGCCAATTTATCGCACCGTGGAATGGGATGGCGTGGCCCTCCGAATGCAAGTAGACACCGGTTCCCCCGTGACAATCATCACATGGCCTACCTACACCAAATACCGTCACCTTTGGCCTCGGTTCCAGAAGACTACCTTGCAACTGACTTGTTTCCTCGGTCAACTTCCCGTCAAGGGTCAACTCAATATCTCGGTGACGTACGGCGGGACCACACTGGACGCTACCTTGGTGGTGCTGGGGTGCTCTGGACCGGATCTGTGTGGGCGGGACGTCATCAAAGCCCTCGAACAGCACGGAAGGCAGGTTCTCGCCGTCGGAATGAAGGCTGCCCCCGGTAAGCCATCCTCTACTAAGGACGATTTACAAGTGCAGCAGTTGTTAGATGAGTTTCAGGACTTGTTCTCGGAAGAGCTAGGTTTAATCAAAAGGCCACCCGTTGAGTTACGCTTGCGCGAAGGTGTCGTACCTCGTTTCTTTAAGGCACGTGCCGTGCCTTACGGGATGAGAGAAGCCGTTAGCCAAGAGATAGATCGTCTCGTTCAGACAGGAATCTGGACACCAGTTGCTTGCGCTGGCTGGGCAACGCCTCTTGTTCCGGTAGTAAAGAAAAATGGGTCCACACGACTTTGCGGTGACTTCAAAGTAACAGTCAACGCTGCTTGCCACACGGAAAAATATCCGTTGCCCAAAATTCAAGACATCTTTGCTAGCTTAAGTGGAGGCGAAGTGTTCTCCACAATCGATCTAAAGGACGCTTACAGTCAGCTACCTCTAGATGAGAACGCAAAGCAGCTTCTAGTCGTTAACACGCAAAAAGGACTATTCTGTTTCAACCGGCTCCCTTTCGGTGTAGCGTCCGCCCCAGCAATTTTTCAGAGACGCATGGAAGCCATCCTTCAAGGAATACCGGGTGTTCAAGTTTACTTGGATGACGTGGTTGTGGCAGAGAAGCAAGACAACTGCGAAAAATTGCGCGAAGTCTTCCAGAGGTTACGGGACTACGGTGTGAAGCTTCACCCAAGCAAATGCAAAATACGGAAGAAAGAAGTTGAGTATCTTGGGCACCGCATATGCGCAGATGGCCTTTTGCCGAAAGCGGAGAACATTGAAGCAGTATCAGGAATGCCCAGGCCCACATGTGTGGCAGAGCTGCGGTCATTCATCGGCTTTGTGATGTATTACCATGCATTCCTTGGCAACTTGTCCACTGTTCTCGCACCGTTGTATGAACTGTTAAAGAAAAACGCTCGTTGGCAGTGGGGAGCAAGACAAGAGGCCGCTTTCGAAGCAATGAAACGCCTCGTCAAAGGTGCCAAGTTTCTCACGCACTACGATCCGCAAAAGCCCCTCGTGTTAGAAACGGACGCGTCGTCTTACGGCATCGGGGCTGTTTTATACCACCGGGTCAACGGAGAAGCGAAGCCAGTTGGATTTCGGTCGCACACTCTGACTGCCGCAGAGCGGAATTACGCACAAATTGAGCGTGAAGCGCTGGCAGTTGTCTTTGGGGTGACCAAATTTCGTGAGTACCTACTGGGTAATACTTTCACGCTAATTACAGATCACAAGCCACTTCTGTGACTGCTCAGCCCGGACAAGCCCGTACCTGCTCTGGCAGCGGCACGGATCCAACGTTGGTCTTTATTACTCAGCGGCTACATGTACACGATCGAGTACAAGGCAGGAAAAACCCTTTCGGTAGCTGATGCCCTGAGCCGCCTTCCGGCAAGCTACCAGCACGATGCCAGTATCATGGAGTCCATCAATAACGACGCCCGTGAGTACGCACTTTTTGCTGAGCAACTAGACACCACCCTGATGTCGTCTAGTGATTTGGCCCGGGCGACAAAAGCAGATAGCACCCTCAAGCAAGTCGCTGTCCATATTCGCGACGGCTGGCCTAGGAAACTACCGAGATCAAAACCAGACTTACGTCCATTCTTTTTCTAAAAACACGAACTGGTGCGCAGTAATAACATTGTCTACTGGGGCCACCGAGCGATGATTCCGGTCGCCGCCCGGAATTCCGTACTACGTGTGCTGCACGAGACTCATCAAGGGATGACGTCGATGAAGAAGTTGGCGCGCTCCATATTTTGGTATCCTGGGCTGGATCGGGACATTATTTTATTTATTTATTTATGAATACTGCAACCCTAACATAGGGTTTTAGCAGGGTGGATACACATTTGCTAAATTAACAAATCGGCAAACAAGTAAATATAAAACAGGTGAGGTATGTACACAAAAAGACAATGGTTTGCAATGAACAGTCATAAGGGCATATAATGAAATCAGCGCTATATTCAAGTTGGTCACGAGTGGGGAATTGCTACAGTGATAGAAATAAAAAGCAGGATCACATATCAGACACTCACTGCTGGAGCTGCGCAGCAAAAAGATTCAAGGAAGACTGGGAAACAACTTCATTACTAAGGTTATTCCATTCGATGATTGTCCTCGGAAAAAATGAATATTTGAACGTGTTATTACGGGTGGAGAATGGGGTTATTGTAAGGGAATGCCTCTGTCTTGTGGCATATCCCGTGGAGAAATTAAGTATGTGTGATAAGTCTAACTTATAATAACCTTTAACTAACTGAAAGAAAAATTTCAATCTTAATACTTTATTCCTTTGAGTAGGTGTTGAAAGATTGGCTTTTGATAATAAACGTGTTATTGAAGTGCGGCCGAAACTGTTATAAATAAATCTAACAGCTCTCTTTTGAATTTTTTCCATTTCGCTAATGTTTTTTCTGGTGTGAGGGTACCAGATTATGGAAGCATAATCTAAAGAAGGTTGAACAATTGCATTAAAAGCAATAAGGCGAACGGCGGGGGTTGAAAGCTTGAGAGCTCGTCTAAGATAAAATAGCTTGTAATTACACGAGCTTATTACAGTATTAATATGTCTTGTCCAGTTTAGGTCATTCGAAATCCAAAGACCAAGGTACTTGTAGTGTTGTACCTCCTGCAAAAAAACATTATTGGCTGAATATGCAAAATGAAGAGGGGTACGTTTGTGGGAAATTTTCATGAAAACAGTCTTTTTAAAATTAACTGACATCTGCCATTTATCACACCAACGAATGACCTTTTGAAATGCGTCGTTTAAATGAATTTGGTCGGTATGGTTTTCAACTTCCGAGTATAGAATGCAGTCATCCGCATATAACTTGACTTTTACAGGTATATCATGTGATATGTCATTTATAAACAACAAAAAGAAGAGCGGCCCAAGCACGGAGCCTTGGGGCACTCCCGAGTCAACCGGTACTGTACGAGAACAATGTTCATTGAAAGAGACGTATTGTTTTCGATTCAAAAGATAACCAGAAATCCAGTTTAGAAGCTGGGTATTTTTAAGAATTAAATCAAGTTTGAAGAGTAATTTATTGTGTGAGACCGTATCGAAAGCTTTAGCAAAATCCATAAAAATTGCATCTACCTGTTTTCCGGAATTTATAGATAGCGCAAAATCATGTACTGTTGTTACCAGCTGAGTACAAGTAGAAAATCCTTTCCTGAATCCGTGTTGTGAGTCTGACAAAATATTGTGCTTATCTAGGAAGTCTGAAATGTGCTTATGTATTATATGCTCAATGAGTTTACAGGAAGTTGAAATTAATGAGATCGGCCGATAGTTAGTAACAGAATGGGGATCTCCACTCTTATGTAAGGGCTTGACTTTAGCAGTTACCCAGTCATCCGGAACTTGACCATCTTTCAGAGATTTAGAAAAGAGAATTGTTAGGTACTTTGAAACCCATTGTGCGTAGCGCTTTAAGAACTCATTCGGTATTCCATCCGGACCTGAAGATTTCTTAACATCCAGTTTTAAAAGCAGATTAAGAACTCCCTCTTCACTTATGATGATATCCGGAAGGGGTGGGCTAGCCACATCAAATGTTTCCAGGACACCGTTATCCCTCGTAAAAACAGATTTAAAATGATCATTGAAAGCGTTAGAAATAACAAATGAATCACTAGTTTCAACACCATCAATTACAAAAACATCAGTAGTCACAGTATTAGGCGAAATTAAACTCCAGAACCTCTCGGGAGACGAAGACATGAGACTCGGAAGTTGTTGGCCATAATAGCGTTCCTTATCAGACACAACATTTGCTTTCACTTGAGAAGCAAGTTCAGAAATTTTTTGCTGGAGGATACCTACGTCTTTAGAGCACCGTCTTTGATTTTTTAAACGTTTGAGCCGTCTTCGCAACTGCAACGTTTCCCGAGAAATCCAGGGGTTCTTTCCTTTCGATTTTTTTACAATACGAGGAACAAATCTATCAATACACTCATTTATAAGGTCTTTGAAACGCTTCCACAGATAATGAATATCAGCAGTGCAACTCGAAAAAGAATCAAATTCAAATGCTAGTAAATCCAATATTGAGGTGTCATCAGCACGTGAAAAGTTTGGGAACGAGACCACCTTGCAATTTTTCTTTAAAACAACATTAGTAAGCGTAAGTATCACAGCCTGATGATCAGATATTCCAGGGAGAACAGAACAGCTAGCTTGGGCAGAGATTGAGCCACTAATGAAAAAAAGGTCTAGAATTGAACAAGAACTCGCGTGTATTCGAGTGCATTTGTCAACGATTTGCATCAAGTCAAAAGAAAACGCTATATCGATCATTCTTTCACCAATTTTATAGTTAGGTTGTTGCAAAGAGAAAGATGACCAACTAACATGAGGCAAATTAAAATCTCCAGCTAGAATAATCCGATCCTCAGGTTTCACATGGGCGGCGAGGTAGTTGTGTAGTTCATCCAGAACATCCATGGAGGAATTGGGTGGGCGATAAATAGCCCCAATAACGTACCTGGTCTTTCCGTAATATGCTTTGCAAAATATGCCCTCGACGTTACGTATGTCGTGCATTTTTGTAATTTGCAATGACTGTCTAAACAGGATCGCCACTCCACCACCTCTACTCCCACGATCTTTACGGTACACACGGTAGCCCCGCGGAACAAATTCACTATCAAGTATGTTATCGTGCAACCATGTTTCGGTTAGGATAGCAATATGGGGACTATAGGCCAGGAGGGTTCCTTCTAATTCTGTGGTTTTGCTAATAACACTTCTACAGTTTAAATTTAGTATTTTCAGCGACGGTACACTGCACATATCCCGTCATTTTCCATTCTTCTTTAGCTTAACACGTGCATTTTTCGATTCATCCCAACTGAACAAGTTCCCATCCACACTCAGTCGATTGTAGAGTAGCTTAACTTTAGCACCGTTTTCTCTCTCTTTTTCGGAACTTTTCCACAGATTTCTGCGTGCCTCACGAACCCTGTATGAAAAATCTTCAGAAAAGGACAATACAGAGCCCTTTAACTTGTGCCTAACCTTCAAAACAGACATCTTCTCACGATAATCAATAAACTTTAGAATAACTGGTCTGTCTTTGTTTTCAACTATGCGTCCAAGCCTGTGGCATCTTTCAACAGTAATTGCCTTTATACCTAATGTATTTTCGAGGATTTCCTCGACATTATCTTGGAGCATCTGAGGTGTTTCCCTAGGGGATTCCTTTAGTCCATAAATGATTAGGTTATTTCTACGGCTCCGATTTTCAAAATCATCAACTTTACCTTCAAGGAATGCTAATTTTTGCTGCATTTGAGTCATAGTATCCTCAAGTTCTTTCACTTGTTGAGGCAATGCAGAAAATTTATTCATGTGACGCTCAATGGCATCCACTCGTTCTGTTAGCGTGCCAAAGTTTTCAACTAAATCTTTCTGGTTGGCCTGTACGTTCTCAATAGCTGCTTTCATTGTTTTTTGGCCAGCGAGAAGCTGAGATAGCATTTCCTTTTCCGTAAGAGGACCAGGATTAGCTTCAACGTCACCGCAAAACAACAGATCAACAGGTATAGGTGTGACGCAAGCAAAAAGAAGTTTAAGACACAGTGGGCAAGGCAGCAGCAGCAGGAAACGGTTATCACTTCGATAACAGGGGGCAGGAAAGTACCTACTAACCTGTATTGCAAGGCAAAGCGGATTTCTGAGCATGTTGCCTTCTCTGCTGCTGACAAGCCCACTGCCATGGTATGAGACTGCCCGTGGATTTAAAGGCTCCGAAGCGATCACGGGAACCGACGTCACTCGGCGTTGATCCCACGTGGACGCTAAGATGAGAAGGGGCGTTGTTTCCTCGATGCAGCAGCGATCGTCCACAGGTGATGATAACCAGGCTTCGCCAGGCCAGCCAGACGAGGTGACGTCATCATCCCGAGCCAGCCCCAGAAAGATGGTGCATACCGCAGGGCTTTCACCAAGAAGAATCGCCAAGACCTGTATTGCAAGGCAAAGCGGATTTCTGAGCATGTTGCCTTCTCTGCTGCTGACAAGCCCACTGCCATGGTATGAGACTGCCCGTGGATTTAAAGGCTCCGAAGCGATCACGGGAACCGACGTCACTCGGCGTTGATCCCACGTGGACGCTAAGATGAGAAGGGGCGTTGTTTCCTCGATGCAGCAGCGATCGTCCACAGGTGATGATAACCAGGCTTCGCCAGGCCAGCCAGACGAGGTGACGTCATCATCCCGAGCCAGCCCCGGAAAGATGGTGCATACCGCAGGGCTTTCACCAAGAAGAATCGCCAAGACCTGTATTGCAAGGCAAAGCGGATTTCTGAGCATGTTGCCTTCTCTGCTGCTGACAAGCCCACATTGAACATTGAACGTGTGGTAAACACTTGCCCTGTATGTGTGCAGTGTAGCAGCATGCCACCTGCCAAGGAGCCTGTGCCATGGCCGGAAACCAAGGAAAAGTGGTCAAGGGTGCACGTAGACTATGCCGGCCCGGTTGACAGACATATGTTGCTCATCGCGGTTGATTCGCACACAAAGTGGATAGAGGTGAGCCCAGTGAAGATAGCCAGCGCGGGATGGACTATCGAAGCCTTACAATCAATGTTTAGTAGGTTTGGCCTGCCCCGAACCGTGGTTTCCGATAACGGGCCACAGTTCACTAGCGCGCAGTGTCAGTCGTTCATGAATGAAAACGGAATTCGCCACTTTTGCACCGCGCCTTATCATCCGCAGTCCAACGGTTTAGCAGAGAGGGCAGTGCGAACGATTAAACTGGGACTGCGCAAGAACGCTAGAGGCACACTGCAAGGCCGATTAGACCAAATTCTGTTACAGTATCGCCGCACCCCTCTGCCCAGCGGGAAAACGCCAGCGTTCATGCTGCTGGGTTTTGAGCCTCGAAGTTGGATAACATCGTGTCATGTCGGCCATTTTCTCACGCAGATACGGAGCACCCCGGAACCACTCGCCAAGTTGGAGACTCTGTTTGGTACAGGAACTACGGGACAGGAGTCAGGTGGAAGGATGGCGTCGTACAGACCCCCGAAGGCCACGGCATGGTAACCATCAAGGCCGCAGACGGCGAACATCATCGCCGGCATTATGACCAGTTGAGAGGAAGAGAAACCGACAGCACGGGACTCGCTGCCGGTGAAGCAGAAGTCAAGCAAGAGCCCGGGGTTGAGGCACCGCAGACGGAAGCTGGCGAAACCGGTGCACCACTGACCTCAAGAGAACCCCAGAGCCCAGGTGCGCCAGACACAGAAATGACGCCAGCGGCCCGCAATCTGATGGCAATAAAGAGTTCGATCCTGGCGAAACCATGTTACGCAGGTCCACCAGAAACCGACGCCCGCCGGATCGCTACCAGCCTTAAGGGGAAAGAAGGCTGATGCATCGTCATTTGCACATGTCACTGCCACTGCGCACGTTGTGTGCGCATACCCTTCAGAGGCTATAAAAAGCCTCGCTCCCAATAAACGTGGTTCACTGTTGTACCTTCGTGTCTGTACGCTTCACTGTCAAATTTTTGAGTCATCATAATCACACACCTGTACACATAAGGCTGAATATTCTTGCTGGTGACAGATGGACGGCAAGTCCACCGTGGCCATAGTTACTCGCTGAACTTCTATATAAATGTGGACTCATTTTGCTGTGTTTCCTGGAAGTTGAGTCTACTGTCTGGGCCATCTGATAAAAATACACTGCGTCTCCCCCAAATAAGGCTGCACGGCAAGCCGGTCAGTTATATGGCATCCAATGTATACAGTATCCAAGTCAGGACAGAGTAAAAGACACACACACACGGTGCTAACTTTCAACAATGCAGTTTATTTCAAGGATCAATAGTACCTGCATACATCCTGAAGTTGTTTGCAGTGCAACACTAGAAACACAGGACAAGGAAGGAGCAAAAGAGAAAATAAAAATAAAAGACAGCACTGACTCACAACTGTTATTTATTGGAAAAAAAGGTGAAACATATATATATATATATATATATATATATATATATATATATATATATATATATATATATATAGATGAAATAGATGATCAGAGTTTCTTCCGGCTACCGTAATAAAAGGTATAAACTTCGAGAATAGTGCAGTATAGGAAACAAAACAATAAAATATTTATTTAATCCTAACAGTTTCGGCTGGTGGACCAGCCTTCTTCGGAGGATGTAAGTGAAATGATACAAGTTCCCGTAGCAGAGGGTCACCCTCACAGTTTAAAGACCCTCCAAAAAAAGAGAGAGAGAAAAAGACAAGCGGGCGAACGAGGTAGCAACAGACAACAAGAAGCAGAAGAAGGAGAGGAACTAGAAAGGAGCGACGGAGAGCCGCCGGAAACGAGCGGGTAATTCTGGCATTGTTGCTGCGTATAGGTAAGACGCGCCGCCAGCGGAGGCGACCAAGAAAAACGGAAAAATGTGGAACATGTTGCCGCTTACTCGCATCTCACACATGGATCGAGTTTAAGTTCACGTGGTTCGGCGGCTGGCCCGTGGCATCGGGCCACACACACACACACACACAAGAAGCATACGACCCGCTCCAGCTTTCGGAATATAATGGCCACGTTGGAAAGCTAATGTGCCCTCTCCCCCTCCCTCCACCTGCCCTCTCTTGCAGAAAAATGTACAACCAGTCATACTGAAAATAAATAAATGGGTATTCTTGTAAAGGATGAAAATATATAAAAATAAATAATACTAAAAAGTATTAAGAAATGAAAATAAAGTTTAATAATACTAACACAATCCGTTCGGTTTACGTAGCATCGAATTCGTTTAGTTTCGCTATATTGACTAAATTGCGTGTGCGACTTCACGTATGTATAAATAAATTAATTGAGTAATTCAATTTCTGTGTTTCACGAAACGTCGCGGAGACACGTCAGTCGCCCAGGGCTCTCGTTGATTCCGTGGGTAAGTGATCTGAATTTCTTTATAAAGTATGACTCCCGCTGTTCGCGCTCCCGTGTGTTCTGGAAGCCGGATTGTAGGAGTATGACACTTACGCGTTCGAAAGAGTGACCAGGAAGATTGATATGTTTGGAGAACGGCAAATTGGGGAGGCCCTTTACGTGTGCCCTGTGGTTGTTGAAACGCAAACGGAACGCGGTTTCCGTGTGTCCAATATATTCCTGTTTGCACACCTCGCAGCGAATTTTGTATACCACATTGGCTGAGTCACAGTTAAGGTCGTCTTTAATTTTGTACACATAGTCTGAACAGGAGGCTTCGGCCGTATCTGTGGTCACCATGTGTGTGCACACCCTGCAGCGAGGTTTCCCGCACGGTCTACAGCCCTGATGGTGGTCGGATTTGTGTGTTTTCGCCCTGACCAGTAAGTCTCTCAGGTTTTTATTTCTTCGGTAAACCACCTTGGGCGGAGTCTGAAAAATGGCAGAGAGGCGACTACTCTGTTTAAGTATGTTGAAGTGGCGGTTTAGTATAGAATTCACCCGAGGGGCGGCGGCGCAGTATGTGAGGATTAAATTTGCCCCTGAAGTTATATCATCCTCATTCCCACCTTTTTCTCCCATTGTTGATTCTCGGTCCAAAGAGCGAGCGCGCTCAATTGCATTGTCAATTATTTTTTCGGGGTACTTTTGACGCAAGAAGGCTGTTCTCAATTCCTGTGCGTGGGTGTCAAATTGCGTGATTTCAGAGCAAATTCTTCTGTATCTGTGGGCTTGAGAGTAAGGAACACCTGTTTTGCAGTGATGGGGGTGACTGCTATGGAAATGCAGATACTGTTGGCGGTCTGTTGGTTTTTTATGCAGGGAAGTAGATATGGTGGTGCCACTGAGTGATACAGTGACATCCAGAAAGTGAACACTCTTCTGCGAATACGTGTGCGTGAATGTTATCGAAGGATGCACGGAGTTGAAACCGGAAATGAATTTGGAAAGATTATGTTCACTATCGGCCCACACGAAGAATATATCATCGAGGAAGCGTCGGTAAAATATAGGTTTGAATGGAGAATTTTCGAGGAAAGGAATCTCTAAAGAGGCCATGAAAATATTTGCGTAATTTGGGGCCATTTTGGTTCCCATGGCAGTTCCGTTTACTTGCAGATAATGATTTTGGTCGAATTCAAAGTTATTATGTTTAAGTACCAGATTTAGGAGCACCTCTAAAGCGCTTTCGTCGAATTCACTCGTCGATTTACTTTTTCCATAGGCGGCGACTGTGGCGGCGATTCCTTCGGTGTGGGGAATGTTTGTGTACAGTGATGAGACATCCATGGTGACCAAATAGCAATCTAGAGGTACCACAAGTTTTGAGACTTCTCGAAGGAAGTGGCTGGTATCTTTGATGTATGATGGGAATGATTGTGGGATGTGCCTAATCACGGAGTCAATGAAACTAGAAATTTTTTCAGTAGCAGTACCGTTGCTGGAAACTATGGGTCGGCCGGGATTGTTAGTCTTGTGAATTTTGGGTAGTAAATAGAAACGCCCGGGAGACGATTTGCCAGGTGACATCATTTTAAGCATAGGGTAGGTTATCTTCCCACTTTTACGTAATGATATTAGTGAGGCCTTTATAGTACTTTCATACTCCTCTGTCGGATCACAAGGGAGTTGTTTATAGAAATTTTCATCTGCCAGTTGGCGAAGCCCTTCTTTGATGTAGTCAGTCCTGTCGAGTACAACCACAGCACCACCCTTATCAGCTGGTTTAATAACGATGCTCTGGCTGTCACTTAAACTGCGCAAAGCCTCCCGCTCCTCTTTGGACAGATTGTTGCGAATGGGTCGGCGCTTTTCATATTCCCTGATTATATCACCCTGGACGGCTGAAATGTACATGTCTAGATATTTGTCTCGTTGTTCACCTGGAGTCCAAGATTTATCTGAAAATTGATTTTGTTGCGTGCTGCTTCGATCATGAAAATATTCTTTTAGACGCATGGTTCTGGCAAAGTTGTCCAAATCTTGGTAAAGTTTAAACTCATCAATTTTGCCAGAGGCGGGGCAGAAGGTTAGACCTTTTGATAGCAGCTTTGTTTGCGCAGGTGTCAAAGATTTGCCGGAAAGGTTAACCACATTGGTGACATCGGTGCTCTTTTGTGGAGATTGATGAGAGGTAACAGGTTGATCTGTATACGTTGTGGGAGGATTGCTGGCGGAGTATTTTAAAGTCGGCCACGCACCGTCTCGCCTCAATTTCTTGTCCTTCTTGCCCTGGATGGTCAATCTCTTTTTTCCTTCGTATTTGGCCAGCTCTTCTGTTTCTATATATATATATAGGTACTGACAGCCTACATCACGACATGTGCAGAACAAGAGGTGCACTGAGGCAGCGTTTCACTCTTATGGCAATAATCAAGATTGGCCTAAATATAACTAAATTCTTTTTCATGCTGTGTGATGGATGTTTCACTTATCCACATGCTACCGCTAATCTTTATATGATATAATGGTATAGCGCGCCAAGACAAGGACACAAAAAGAGAGACGCACACACACAGTGCTAACTTGCAACTTGTTTTATTTGCGATGACACATGCTATTTATACAGTAACAAATGACCAATAAAATCTAGAACATATCATGTTAAAATACAGCATGCCTCATGCACGTGTCACCATCCATTGCGACAATCTGCACTCGCCAACGTCAAAGTGAAGATTCTAGAATTTTTTTTTGTCTTTAGGTGACAAAGCTATCGAAGCCACACTCACACATTTATTTTTCATTTTGTCAATTTCAAAGGCTTCAATCATCTCACGCGTAGTTCTGTCACGAGCCCTAAAGAGAATACGGGTGTTTTGAAACACAGGGACAGAACCACACCTCTGACAGTGAAGGGCCAAATGACCAATATAGCTTTTTCTACGTTGTACTTGTGTTCCCTAAGTCTTTCGTTCACACACTTTTCAGATTGGCCAATGTACACGCAATCACAAGTCAAGGAGTGCAGATTGTTGCAATCGATGATGACGTGTGCATGAGGCATGCTGTATGTTAGATTTGATATGATATGTTTTAGATTTTATCGACATGATATGTTTTAGATTTTATCGGTCTACTGTTACTACAGAAATAGCCTGTGTGATTGCAAATAAAACAATAGTTGCATGTTAGCGCTGTGTGTGTGTGTGCATCTCTCTTTTTGTGTCCTTGTCATGGTGCACTATATCCTTATAAATGATGAACCCCAACCAACTAGCCTGGCGACGTGTCTTAGCAAATTTTATATGATAGGCCTCAGCCGGCGAAGTTAGGCTTCGTTGCGATGATGAAAACGTTTCAAACTGGGAACATTGATGACGTTGGTCTTTCTTAAGCCGTGGCCAGTTGATAACAGCTGAGATATCACGTACGTGATATTGCTGAGACGTTCCAGGACAACAATTGGATTAGTGCAGTTGACCAGAAACTTTTGGCAGAGGCCGGGCTTGCAAAGCAGTGTCCAAAGCCACAACAAATCATCTTTCTCAAACAATACATGCCGCTGACTTCCGTCATAACG